CTAATAGTTTAATACTTTAAGTAATATTTTCTATTAAGTTTTTAACTTAGTTATTTTGTATTTGCAAATTGTATAAATAATTAATTATTTCATTAAAAAACGAAATATGAATAATTTTATATTTTAACAAAATGAAACTTAAACATGACACTTGTATAATCATAAAACATCTGATAAAATGAAATATCATTAGCAAAAAAAATTAAGAAAACATAATATTGGCTGAAGTTTTGTGCCAAATTAATAACTTAAAACTAAATAAGGTAACATAAATTTATAACGCAGAAAATATAAATTAAAAGAACATATCGGACTCCAGAAGTAGAGATGGTAAGTGATAATAATGTTGGACTTCTGGAAATTATTGCTCAACATATTAAAAAAAACCAAGGAGAGGGATGCTAATATTTTACTTTGAAATGCATTAATTGAACATTTATAGGACGAATATGTTAACTTCGAGATCTAATTTAATTTAATTTGTTTTTGGATGCATGTCTTCTTCTATAATTTAATTATTGTAATTTAATTTGCTTTTAATGTAATATTTATCAATTGGAAATTGTCATTTTAAATTTAACGATGTTTTCATTAAATAAGTTATTTTAAAATTCAAGTGGTGATTATTTATTGATTATAAAAACTAATATATATATATATATATATATATATTATAATTAATATGTTTTAATAAAATAGTATAATAATAAACACATATATTATTTTATTATTATTATAATAAAAAAAGACCCATTATTTTTAGGGAAATTAATTAAAATAGTCATTTTTTATAAGGTTTCAATTTTTTTTGTAGAGCTGAATGAAAAATGTAAATTTTTTATGCGGATCTAGTAAAAAATTTAATCTCTTTTTTACGGATAGGGGTAGAAAATGTAATTTATTTTAGCTAGTCCGCAATTGCGGACGTGGTTTTGCAGACCTGTGACTATTTTAGTAAACTTAAGAGAAAATGACTAGAAAGTGAAACAAACCTTGAAAAATAGTTATTTAAATGAAATTTTCTTTATTTTTTAATGTTGTAAGGGTAGTTTACCAAAAACTTACTCGTTAATTGTTTACAAATAAAATTCAACACGATTACTTATTTACAAGGTAAGATCTTAGTTCATCAAAACGACATCATATGCAATAATTTACTCGATAAGCTCTTATCGTGGTAAGAGTTATCGCATTCACTTACCAGGTAAGATTCTTGTTCTTTCTCTCGTTCTTACCGGATAAAATTCTTAGTCCTTATCATATTCATCTCCTAAGATAATATTACTTGATAAATGCTTAACCAAATAAGTGTTTGATGAACCACCTAGTAGTGTTTTATAACGATTGAATTACATATCGGGGTAAAGGACATCGTAAACGACATCGGTAAGATTCAAAAACTGTACATAAACGCAAACTTCCAAACGCAAACGTTATCACTAACGTTTTGCAAGTAAGGTGTCATAGGCTGATTCAATAAAGATACGATCATATGCCATGAAAACATTACCTTCACTCCAACCGCAACTCTGTTCCACTTTCCACTGGTAAGTTTTCTGGTGATTTTCATACTCTTTTCTTGATGGATTTCTTTAAAACTTCGAGAGGGGGGGGGGGGGGGGGGTTGTAGTACACACTTGTGCTCGTTCATTACCTGATTTAATTGCAGTTAAGGAATCGTGTTTTTCAATATTGTATTGTAGATAATCCAGTTATTTGAGCCCTATATTAGTTTTAGTTCGCTGATCGGATTTAGAATAATTCCAAGATATGTTAACTGTTGTTATTCATGTGTGAGGTGATTAAAAAGCCCTAAAACCTGTAGCGGAACTGCGATTTCATTAGTTGCTGAAAATTTACAGGAAAGAGGGATCAGAACCTGAATGCTATTGTTTCTGCTTGTGTGATCCATACTGCTCTTAGATTTTTCTCCTTGTGATTGTGCATTGTGTTGATAGATCCCTTGTTTGTTGTTTGTGTAACCTATTTCTCTTAGGGCACATCTGGTTTGATGGAATGGTTTCGTGGGATTTGAATTTCTTGAAAGGATTTGGAATTGTAAGGATTTGGGTTTGGAATCTTTGGTATCTTTGACCTGAAGTATTTGGAATGAAATTGAATTTCATTCTTTATAAATAATTCATAAAAACAAATTATAAATGATTTTTATTAATTGATTATTACAAACAAATATTTTTAACATATTTTAAAATATTATTACATACAAATCCTACGAAATCCCTTTAAATACCAACCACCCCCTGAGATTTCAAATCCTATGTTTGTGGGATCTCAATGAAATCCTGGAATTTCAAATCTAAGAAGTCCTCCTTCAAACTAAATGTGATTGAAATAGAATTCAATTCCAAATCCCTCCAAATACAATCCAATCTTACAAACCAAACGTGACCTGATGCATTTTCTGTTTGCTGTTTCTTTTATTTATTTATTTTGCAATTTCACGAAAGCAGCCTCTCTGCCCCTTGGGTATAGGCAAGCAAAGGTCTGACCTGAGAAGCGAATTACGATTTTCAATTATTTTCTTCGAGTTTTCCATCTCTTGGAAGTGATACGTTTCATTTTCATTTGGAACATTAAGAAGTCCTTTATCTGTGGCAGGAATTACATAAGCATTCAAAAATCATCACAAATTCGAGTTCACAAGTCTTGAGCAATCGAATTTGTGATTTTTTGAACGTTTGTGTAATTTCTGGGTAGAAAAAGGACCCCATGTTACAAATGAACGTAATGAATCGATTTCAAAGGATGAAAACTCGTAGAGAAGAATTGTTGGATGCAATTTCCTTCTCATTTTTAATGACATTGTACTTTTTTATTTTATATTATGTTAATTAAACGTGTGCCCGGGTCGCCATAGGTTTAGATTTGCCACTGATGATGTTCATCATTTTCCATTTTATGTGATATATACCACCCAAAGATTAAAGTTTGCTTGAGATTTATAAATACTTGATGTATAAATTATGAAAACAATCTATTTCCTTTCATGCATTTGGTTTTTTCACTTACAACTTGTGCACATGTATGTATATTAGTACGTATAAATGCGTCCTGTAATCTTTAACTTTTTGGAATCGCTCAATCCCTGTATGCAAGTATCCCGTACTTGTATCCCCATGCATAACATAGCTACGAATGCTTGGTTTAGTTTCACGGACCATTTCTTTCGCATCTATTTTTCTTTAATGATTTCCTGGTACTGAAGTGCTAAATGGAGTTGTTGACAATTATTATGGTGCCTTCTTCTTTGTAGCAATGATTGTAGAGATCGCGGTTGCGGTTGTTGGTGGTTTTCTAGGATGGATTTATATGCAAATCCAGCCACCACCTCCTAGAGTTTGTGGATCACCAGGTGGTCCTCCTATTACCTCACCCCGAGTCCAACTTACTGATGGAAGGCATTTATCTTACAAAGAGTCGGGTGTCTCCAAGGACAAGGCCAAGTATAAGATCATTGTAATTCATGGCTTTGATAGCTCCAAAGACATGAAACTACCTATTTCTCAGGTATCATTGCACTTCACCATTTAATGTTGATATAAATTCTTCTCCCTTTGTCCCATGAAAATTTTAATGTGTTACATAACACAGTTTTACGAGTGTTCGACTATTTTCCAAATCTCTACAATGCAATTTAATAATGACAAGAGAATTGTGAACCCAAATCAAACGTCATCAATATTTTGCATCGAAGGTAATGGGTAAACATGAAAATGCAGTGTTTAAGCTCACCAAAATGGAAATCTTGCAATTTTTTTGGAAAAGGATTCTACATAAGAGGGAGACTAAGAAACTGTTTGGTTGGTTTTCCACTAAGTCCTATATGAATAAAGTTGTATGTGTGGATTAATCTGTCTGTATAGATTGTGAATGTTTTTGTTCGGAAGGGATTTTTCATAGGTGGAAGGAGCGTGTTTATTAATTGGGATGAACATGTTTGGAAAAAACTTGGATTTATGCATAAAACTTCCCCCTAGAATCTTACTGAATAAGCCACTTTCTATATCATTAAGCCACTACCAAAAAGTCATGTATCGCTGACCGAATAAGTTGCGAGTCCCATTAAGCTGCTAACAAACAGGCGGCCCAGTAGTTAATCTTGAGGGTTAGCTCAACTGACAAATAAAGACTAGGCCTTGGTGTTCCTCCCTATAGGTGTGGCCTATTCGAGTCTCCTCAAACCATTGGGAATTTTCATGGCTGTTATCTGTCTGTAAGGCCCCATGGGACTAGTGTGCGCAAGCTAGCCGGAACATCCAAGGTTACCAAAAAAGTAGCCCATTCTATTAGTTGGCAACAAAGGATCTCAGCATCTCACAAACCCTGCTTAGCATCCATGGCTTAATGGTTAAACATTTGAAGTCCTTAGACAACTCGTAGTTTTTATTCCGTATCCATGCTTCCTGTCAATTACATGCATCTTGGGTCTTACCTTGTATTGGTTTACCACACTACTAGCTTTTTCCTTTTGCTTTCTCGTGTGTCCATGAAGGTTCTACTCTTCTGATATCTCATCTTATAATGACAGGAACTTATTGAGGAGCTGCAAATTTACATTCTGTCATTTGACAGAGCAGGTTACGGAGAGAGTGATCCACATCCAAAGCGCTCAGTTAAGAGTGAAGCATTTGATGTTCAAGAACTAGCCGATAAGTTGCAAGTTGGTGCCAAGTTCTACGTGATTGGATTATCAATGGGTGCATATGCTGTTTGGAGTTGTCTCGCATACATACCACACAGGCATGACATATTTTCCTTTCATTTTTCATTTACGTCCTTCTTGTGTGCACCATACTTTGTTTTCATACATTGAAAATTGTGATCGAAGGTTGTCAGGAGTTTCGCTTGTCGTTCCATTTGTCAATTACTGGTGGCCATGTTTACCTGCTAATTTGGCTAAAGAATGCTTCGAGCTACTGCTTGTTCAAGACCGATGGACATTTCGTGTGGCACATTACGCCCCGTGGCTGTTCCAGTGGTGGATGAATCAAAAATTGTTTCCATCGTTAAGCATAATGGCTGGAAATATGGATATATTTTGCCAATCAGATTTGGAGTTCTTGAAGAAACTGCCACCAAACCCAGATGATACACAGGTAAAATAATCACTGTTTCTGCCATTTCATTGCATAAATGAACTTCAAATTGGCATAGAGCTTGAATACCTTCTCAGTTATGTTGCAGACTTGCAGTTCATGTTAGATATGCAAAAAAGCCCAAAGCCCGGATCTAGCAAACCCGAGACCCAGGACCAGGTCTAAAAAGCCCGAGTAGGCTCATTTTCACACCCAAAGCCTGGTCCCAAACAAGCCCACTCTTTTTCGGCTTATTGAAAATGGCTTGGATGGGCTAGAACCAGGCCCAAATAGCCCGGGCTTTGTGCATCTCTATAGTCCAGCTCATTACTATTTATTCTAAAATCTGATTGATGTCGCATGTTTACGTACGTTAGGAAAAGATACGTCAGCAAGGTGTTTACGAATCTCTCTATCGTGACATAATGGCTGGTTATGGAAAATGGGAGTTCGACCCTTTTGATGTTAGTAATCCTTGGCCAGAAAACGATGGCGCTGCTCATATTTGGCAGGGGTACGAAGACAAAATCATACCATATAAACTCAACCGGTTTCTTTCTCAAAAGCTTCCTTTTGTTCAGTATCATGAGGTTCCTGGTAAAGGTCATTTCTTAGCTTTCGAAAGCACTCTGTGTGATGAAATATTTCGTACACTTTTGGTTGGATGAACCAAAGTGACACGAGCGTGAGTGGATTCATCGTTTTTAATTTGGTAACGTGACGCATATTAGCATCCTAGACTGTGACGCAACGTTATGAGATTGTGATCTGATAACCGAAAATAAATTTGGTTGTTATATATGCGTAAATCTATAGTCTAAAACTAAAATCTGGTTTTCATTTTCCGTTGTCATTTATATGCTAGAATTCGACAAAAATGATGTGACAAATAGATGTCGTTTGAAACTTTATTCTATTTTCGAGTCACCAAAAAAGATGTTATACCGATACCGAAAGGCAATCAAGCCATGCTTCATTCAGGTTTCCTTTGTCCCAGGACGGTAATGTCTTCGAATCGCTTCTGCATTACACCATCGTCACGTTAAAAGAAAAGATCATGGAATTAGAGCAATCACATTTGTTCAATGGTCGTAACACGGCACTTGGCCTTAGAATGTGATTCTTTTTCAACGTCTTAACCCGCCCGATGACCCAAATAGCAAAAAGAGAAACATGGATTACACAATAAAAATCGACATTACCCCAACGTTGTTTCTCTCCCAGAGTTTACGAACTCCATAATCGACCGCCTGAAACACAATGTCAACATATGTGTAATAATAAATCCAGGTATGTTTGTAAATGAATGTGAATGGTGTAAAGCGGACGGACCCGTTCACCGAAAAAGGCGCCGAGGATGACGAACGTGACGTTGACACAATTACGTCGACCGAGGATTCTGTATGGTCCGTCGAGAAGGGAAGAGCGCTTGGGCATGGTGGTAACGTTTCTTGTCGAAGAAATGTCGTTTGGTTTTGCGATCAAAGGAGGTGGAGGTGGAGGTGGAGGTGGTGGTGGTTTTTGTTGTATTTTTTGTTGGATTTATGAACGGAAGTGTGTCGCGTTTCTGAATTCTTACGGAGAAAAAAACGGTTCAAAACTCCAATGGTCAACTATTCACTCCTTTGAATTTTTCAAAATGCTTGTGTTTATGAGAAAAATCATTTTTGAACACGAGGGTGGTTTTGGGATTATGAAATTATAAAATTTCATTCCGTTAAAATATCATTTTATTTATTTCTGAAATTCATTGGATTTTAAAGATTTTTTTCACTAAAAGATAATGAATCAAACAAACGGATGAAATTTGTCTAAAAGGAATTTAAAATTCCAGTTTCATCATATTCCTCCAAATTTTACGAACCAAACGTCATCTTAGGTGATTTAAGTTTCACTTAAATCATTCTTTGGGCATTTTTAATATTCGTACTCAAATTCAACAAATTGGATCCTAGATTCAACCGTGTTTCACATACACGGTTGAAAGCCTCCCTGTCCAGTGTGCTTCTTAAATTAAACCATCTTCTGTTTGCCTTGCTAAGATTTTCTTTCCCTGTTGGTCAAACTTTTGCATATTCGGTAACATAATATGAGTGTAATATTCATAGCCTGGGATGTTACAAATGGCATTAGAGTCGGGAACCAGAATGTTGTGGCAATGAGGACGTTGGACTCCTAATGGGAGTGGATCATAAGCTCCCACATTGGTTGGGGATGGGAGCAAAGGTTTTCTTGCAAGGGATTTAATACCTTCTCAATTAGAAGCGTTTTGAACTGTGAGTCCAAGTGTGGATAAAACGGATAATATTTGGTACGGTTAACATGAGATGTTACAGATGGTATCAGAGCCGGGAACCAAACTATTGTGCCAGTGACGAAGGCTCCTAAAGGGATGGATTATAAGAGCCTACATCGGTTGGGGAAGGGAACAATGTTTGCCTTATAAAGGATTACATTTTAAAACCGCGAGTCTAAGTGTGGGTAAAACTTACAGTTGGTATCAAAGCCGGGGAACCAGACTGTTTTGCGAGCGAGAAGTGCTCTACAACCGTGGGTTTAGATGTGGACAAAACAAACAGTATTTGATATGGTTAGACTGGGATGTTACATATTCTTCCATTGGGATATGGAATTTGATTTGCGTGGCTCATTTTTTAGTTGTGTCATTAGGGTAAGCAACATTATCTAATCAAAGGTCGGGGCACAAGGATCTTAGTACCATTCAGGTGTGAAGAACATGTGAGGTGAATACAATAAACACAAATCTCACTCATATCTATATTTTCTATATGAAGTAAAAAAGACGTTTTTGTGGGATAGATGAGGCGACAAAGACGGCCCGTTCTTGATATTTCATGGGTTTTAGGCGAAATATAAAAAGGAGTCCTCAACAAGTACGAAAAAAATATGTTGTTTTTATCATTAGAAATAACATTGAATTCAAATAATATTAATAATTCATATAAAACTGTTTTTCCAAATATTCCTAAACGTAAAATCAATCAATTAAATTCAAATTAATATTATCTACCATATCATATTTACATAACATCATTAATCCTTATCACCATAAAAAACATCATATGATATACCTTAATATATAGATTAACATCGTTTGAGGTCACAATGTTGATCATTCTAAGTAACACTCTATGTAAATTAATATTAATCAAACGAGTTTCCATCTCACACATGTTAAAGTTTTTCATCACCGTTTAAACTTCTAGGTTTAAACATCTTTTTTGAAACCATCAATTAGAATCAAATGTCATATTAGTTATAGTTTGAGATCTTATTCTTATTTTAAAGATAAGAGAGTACTTGAAATTCATCTACTAAATATTACGTAATAAGAAGTCATTGGTGCATGAATCACAATTGTAGTTTTGAAATACTAAATATAGATATAAACTGAACCATCTCATATAGTTGATATTTTTTTTTTCAAACAATAAAAGTTTTCTTAGGTGGCGTTTGTTTTTTAAGTGGTGCTGAGTCTGAAGTCTGATTTCATTTCTGATTTTTAAGAGGTGGTGTTGAAGTCTGAAATCTGAATCAGTCAAACTGTTTGTTTTTGTAAACTGACAAACGTCTGAAATCTGAATCAATAGTTTGCTTTTGTAGCCAACAAACATATGAATATGAATAATTTTTGATTTCACTTATGTTTATGTTCCCAAGATTCCTATAATTCTTCCTTCTTCTCGAGATCAAGCCTTCCATTCTCAATCTCCACCCTCATCCCACCACCATCAACCACTGTCCACCACCACTCCTTCTCTAAAATCCAACGCCCAAATTCACCTCTAAAAAGGAGCAAATCTCCATCGTGATGAAAACTACAGTGACGAAAACTACACGGACGAAATACCTTGATTCACGAGGATAAAGGTGAGCAACTACTGGTTTGCACAGGAAGGAAAATACACAGTGGCGAAAACCCACATGGAAGAAAACCCTCTTGATTTGGATCTGATTTGGGTCGATTTGAAGCCACCAGAGGCGATGGAGGGTGAAGTTGATCGAATGATGAAGTAGAAATTGGTTCTCTGGATAATCTTCAGGACTAAGAGAAAAATAAGTGGCTAGATTATCACTTAATTTTAAGAAGAAAATAAGGGATAAGTGACTCTGAAATAAAAAGAAAAACAAACGGTCTGAATTGTCTTATGTCTAAATTTTTTATCTATTCTAAGTACTAACTTTTATTGATACTAACATATTATTATATTATAAAAAAAGTGAGCTTTTATTTCTTGTGGGCTCTGGGCATACATTCAGTCCGTCCACCCTGAGGAAGAACCCTAGATGAAGGGAACAATGTTAGTGCATATAGAGGATTTGAGAACGATAAATTGGTTTTAATAATTTTTTTTACTTTAGAAATTTCCTAGTCAGTTACAGATAATTTTTTTTGTTGTTAAAAAGATGTAAATAACCAATTTTTAAAAGTTTAATATTATATTTATTAAAAAAATAAAGTATTTGACTAAAACTCTTGAAAATAAATTTTTATGCATAAAATACTGTATATTAATGAATATTACTTAAAATTCAAGATTATAAGTAGGATGTGCATGAGTACATCTTATTAAAGCTTTATGTTTGATTCGTGTAACTAACTGCAGATAAACATAATCAAATACATGATAAGCATTATTTTAAATATAAAAAATCTAAAATATATTTAAGATAATGATTGAGTTTTAACAGATTACTTAATTATTATCTTAAAAAAATATTTTATTAAACCAAAAATAAGTTAATTTGTTTTTAAACTTCAATCAAATTATAATAAGAAATTGAATTAAAGAAATTACATAAAAACGAAAACTTTTAAATAATTAATTTGATATTAATATTGCCTATTTTTTGTCAAAATTTTATAATATCTTCAAATTTATATTTCGTTAAAAAAGAAAAACATTTTCGTTTTCTCAAAACCAAATAAAAATCATATTATAATATCGATAGAACCAAAATATAAAACGAAACGTTAAAATAAATATGTATCTCGCTGCATTGCGCGCGTACTCTTCTAATATTTATTAAAAAAAAGGATCAGTAACTTATGGGTTGTTTGTTTACCTCTTAATAGTTTCATTAAGAGACAACCTCTGAACCGTTAAGAGGTGAATCTTGTTTGACAAAAAAAAAATCTTGTTTGACAAAAAAAAGTCCGCCTCTTAATGGTTTGAAAACCATCTGAATGATTATGTATTCTGGATCTCCCTTAACCACTAAGAGCCCTTATTTCATTATATATAATTACCAAACAATTATATTTCATTTTGCACTATATCATGAGAGTCTCTTAATCATTCTGACCACTTAATCATTCTGCACCATATCATTCAACAATTGCCAAACAACCCCTTAATATTTAAAACAGAAAAATTTAATGATTTTCTCCATTAAAAAATAGTTTAATAATTTAACCAATCAAAATAAAAAAATTTAATGGTTTTTTCCTCAAACTTTTCCTATAAAATTATTTAAACATTTTAGAATTGAAATAATCATCATACTTCTCTGCCTTAGTCTAAAACTAATGGGCCAATTAAAGGCCCGAATAGCTGAGGCCCATCTGCATCATTTTGGATTTAGGGTTTCAACCTCATATATGATCGCCTGTGTTTCCTGCGCAACGATATCGGCACTTTCAAACCCTACTCGCAGGGTTCTTAACAGAGGTATGATCTTCTTACACTCTCAAGCTGTTGATCTCTTCGTTCGATTATTCGTGGTTAACATTCTTTTGATTCGTCCGGATGCTTGATTTCTTCATACCTTGATAGCAGATGATACGATTTGTCGTAATTAGATGTTTGTTTTTGATTTAATAGCATGTTGTTATCAATCATACGAACTTAGACTTATTGTGTCGGTGTGTTGATGAAAAGGCTAATTATGATGTTGAACTCATGGTCTTTGTATTTGATTCTTAGCAGAAGTGAAGGTTAGCGAAAGGAAAATTTCCGAACATGAGGTATGGTTATAGATTCAGACTTTTGAATTCAACTTGTTTCTTGATGATTTAGTTAAGATTTTGTTTTTGAATTTTTGACTAAGTTATCCATGATCGGTTTCAAGTTTCATTATCGTCGATTTAGATGAATTTCTGTAGGAATGTGAATGCATTTTGTAACCTTATCAATGTAATAGCGCCTATTTTATATGTGATACCCTGGCGAGTGATTTTTTTTTGATGCCTTATGTAGCTGAACTCAGCTTGTGTTGGTTCATTCTACTGCTTATACAAATTTGCTTTTATTGAAAGGCTTAGGATAACGCATGACGATAGAGGTTTTTGCAAATCAAGATTTTAGAGTATATGTAACTTTTGTATTCACAAACTCTATTTCTCCATTAATATGTATATTTGACGATTCTTCATTTTTTTTAGCACATAAAAACTTTGAATTTATCTTAAATCTGAAGACCCTTAAGTTTTCAATTGAATTTATTGTTAGTTGCGAGTGATTATTGTTGTAGAAATGGTGTAGCAAACATTGTTGATGAACATTAAAAATCCGTGTATTTGATTCTGCAGTAAGCTTCAAAGCGAAGCCCTCAGAGAGGCAATTACTCAGATTACTACCGATGCAAAGGAAAAGAAACGTAACTTCACTGAGACCATCGAGCTCCAGATCGGCTTGAAGAACTACGACCCTCAAAAAGACAAACGTTTCAGTGGTACCGTGAAATTGCCTCACATTCCACGTCCCAAATTGAAAGTTTGTATGCTTGGAGATGCCCAGCATGTTGAAGAGGTAATTTTTGAGTATAAGGTTTTCATATTTGGTACAACATGTGGATAAACTATGAGCCTTCTTTAGTTTTATATCAACCTATATGACAAATCATAGCTTGAATTAAGGCATTAAGGTCTATAATCTAAGCTTATCAATTTGCTTTATATATACATCAAGACTGCTGGCCAGCCATTCTTTAGTTATATATAGTATATTGCTACTTGTAATTTGCAAAGTTATACTTTATAATAATCGTCTATCATTGTTTTAGTTGGGCTTCAAATATGCCAATTGCGACATACATGAGGGAGTCTAATCTTTAGAGTCTTTTCACTAGCGTTAGATGACTACAAGTTGTCTTTATTGGCATATGTATGAATTATAATATCATGAGACAGGGCTTCTAAAACACTGTTGTTTTACAGGATAAATCAGGTTTTTGTCCATGTTTTGTTTAATTGTCAAACTGTTCTCTCTTTCATGTCATTATAGACAAATTAATTTCTTCTTTAACTTGTGTACAGGCTCAAAAGATTGGTCTTGAATATATGGATGTTGAGGGTCTGAAAAAGTTGAACAAGAACAAGAAGTTGGTGAAGAAACTTGCTAAGAAACACCAAGCTTTCTTGGCTTCTGAGTCTGTCATCAAGCAGATTCCTCGTTTGTTGGGCCCTGGTCTAAACAAGGCAGGTATGTGTATCTATTTCAAGTTTTCAACTTTAGTTTCTCTGTTTTCTCTTGTTTGCCTTTGTAAAAAATTACACAGGTCTATTTTATCTTTTAAATACAACTCTGGTAACATGATTCCTGTGACGTTTAACTGCAGGTAAGTTCCCTACTCTTGTTACCCACCAGGAATCCCTTGAGGCCAAGGTAAATGAGACCAAAGCAACTGTAAAGTTCCAACTGAAAAAGGTGCTCTGCATGGGAGTTGCTGTTGGAAACTGCAGCATGGAGGATAAACAGATCTTCCAGAATGTGCAAATGAGCGTTAACTTTCTTGTTTCTTTGCTGAAGAAGAATTGGCAAAACGTGAGTCGTCTCTTCCCTTGTTAACTAGATCTGGCATTCAACTGAATTAGTAAGATGATGTATGTTGATGAGTTTTCTTATGCATTGTTTCATTTGAATGGATTCTCTCAGGTGAGGTGCTTATACTTGAAGACAACAATGGGAAAGCCGGTTCGCATCTTTTAAGCAGTTTATTTATGTTTTCATTTTGGGTTAATGTTGAGGTTGGTACTTGAAAAGGTTGTTTCCCATCAACAGGAGATGTTCCATTTTGGTTGCTACTATATTTTTAGACGGTTCTCTTCAGACATTTATTATAATTGTTTTTTTATGTATTAGTTCTTTAGATTTCTCTCTTTCAATTTTACTGTGAACAAAAACTTCGTGATATGCAATTTTCCCTTCAGCTGCATCATTACAAGATAGGGTTATGGCATTAATGCGAGATTGGTAATGAATTTTTAAAACCATTTTGCCTTGCAATTGTATTTTTATGTTTAACAAAAAGGTTTTATTATCGAATAAATGTTTATTCGTTTCCGCACTTTTTGGGAAGATTCGTTTTTAAATTTGTCGATTTAATAGTTTTTTATGTACGAGTTTAAAAAAAATACTACATAATAATTCTTATTAGCAAGTTAAAAGGTAAAATATGCCATTATTCTTGGGGCGATTTGAATGTTTTCTGATAGCGCGTGATTGCCATGTCCAATTGTTGCAATGTATTAAAATTGTGTATTAGATTATAAAATCCAATGCTACTGCTTCCAGTCGAGATTGATGCAAGCAACGATGAACCTTCCATCACCATTGAAACTTAAAGGGTAGTTTGGTTGGGTTGTGACAATCTGAAATAATTGGAATGATCAATTTTGTTGATTAAAATACCAAAATATGTTCGAATTATTAGTTTACTTAAGAAATGGAATTAAATTCCATACATTCCACCATTCATGGATTTGGTTATTCCATTAAAATTGAGAAAAAATTTGATTTCGTTCAATCCCACTTTCTCAAAAAGACAATATTATTCTCATTTTTTTACTTGATTTACCTAGACCCATATGACCTCCATCTCATCCACCATCGACCACTAACATTCTGGACCACCACCGATCACCATGGATCTAAACCACCACGGATCTGAACTACCGCCGACAACCACCGATTTATAGGATACCACCGGCCACCACTGATCTAAACTACCGCCAGCCACCACCATTTTGAACCACAACCGACCACCACGGTTATAAAAGAGGTATTTGGTCATTTATCATTTATTCATTCTAATTCCGTAGCTACATTCTACCGAGCAGGCAAATTCCGAATTATTTTACAGTTTAATTCCAACTCGTTCCAACTAAATGCACGATTAAATTCCATTCCAACTTCAACAAAATCAAATTTTTTTTTTAAATTATACCAACCAAACACCCCTAAAGCCTGTTTTTATGTTTCTTGGCTCGTGGCTTATTATTTTATACGAAAAAATAAAAAAAATTATTAAGATTATAAAATTATAAAATATTTTGATAACATAATTAAAGTTAAAATCTAAAAAAAAGAATCTTTTGGATATGAAACTTAAACTTTTTTTAGGCATTTTAACTTTTGATTGTTTATGTCGAAAAATACTATTGGTAGATGATTGGCATGGTGATTGGTGAATGGTGAATGAATTGTATTCTGGTCTCTGGATGCATCTTTTCTCCATATAAATATATTACCTAAAGACAAATAAATATCCATTTTGTTTCATAAGTACAACTTACATAACCTCTATCGAGCTGCTGAAAACTCGAATACACAAGGCATGGAAATATGACATATTACAAACTTGAATCAATCACGAGCATAATGTCTTCTCCAATAATTCCTGCAACTCTCCGCTCTTGTATGCATCTGTAATACAAGATGGTTATTCACTATGAATGATGTATTGATGAGAGAAAATCTTGATAAAAATGCATCTAATTCGCAATGATATACAAAGTTGCCGCCGTAAGAACAGTCAGCAGTGAATAAAGCTCAGTTATTGATTACTAAGCAAGTTTTAAAACTGAACAACACCCTAATAACCATTCATCTGTAGGGTATGAACATGTGCATAAACATGCACACGCATAGAAAACGAGGAATATCAATTACTTGTATGCACTTGTGCATATCCGTGTTCCTTAGTTTTTCAACTTTTGGGGTTTCCCCACAAGCTCTCTCTCTCTCTCTCTCTCTCTCTCTCTCTCTCTCTCTGTCTATACATATATATACACATATACATATACATATATATGTGTGTGTGTGTGTGAAATTCAGGATGATGATCCACCGACAGCATTGGCTAATGACTATGAAGCACTTTTTTGCCATATCTCATGTTGACATGATAGGGATAAAAGGTCCTGTTGTCATTGTTGTAGGTATAAGTGTCTTGTTTATGGTGATAGCATTAGCATATACCATTATATTGGCAGGAACAAGTGAAGATGGCAATGTTATAAGAAAATGAAAATGAACTGAACACATGTGATCCTACCGTGTTTGCTACTGAGATGTATATTTCATGTTGCAATACTCGAGTAAGGGTATGCACAAAGTGGAAATATTTTGATAGCATGAGGGAATGAATTTACCAACGGCTATGTCACAACCCCCAAAGAACTCCCCATCAATGTAGAGTTGTGGAAATGTTGGCCACTGAGAATATTCCTTCAACCCTTGTCGCAACATTTCATTGTCCAAAATGTTGATTGTTTCAAAAGGTACATTGACTGTCCTCAAAATCTGCACAACTGTGTTTGAGAATCCACATTGTGGGAAGTCCTTGGTTCCCTTCATGAAAAGAATGACCTTGTGTGATGTAACAACTTTATCCAAAGTTGTTTTCAACTCAGGATTTAATGCTGCAAGTACGTGAGAAATGAAATAAGAACTTTTTCTTTCAACAAACTCACTTCATAAGAACAATGACAATCATTTATCAAGTTGATTGGCCCACAATAAACAATAGGGACATATACAAATGAGAACCGTAAATATATTGAGAAACTAGGAACCAACTCTTCATGTACTTTTCATGATGAATGTCGTGATAGATATTTATGATGAAAATCATTCATGATGAAAATGCTTGATATTCATGATGAATAACATTTATGACTATTCAAGGTTATTCATCATGAATGATACATGAGATAGTTGGTTCTCAAATTCTCAAAATATTTATGGTTCTCCTTTGAACTTTCCTCTCTCTCTCTCTCAATATATATATATATATATATATATACACACGTATATTGTGTGTGTGTGTGTGTGTGTGTGTATATATATATATATATATATTCCTAATATCCTAACCTCTCTTCTCTACTTCCCCTGATGTTAATCTGAGCCTACCCTACCTCTTGCAATGCCTGCCTATTAATAAAAGTATCCCTTCCCCGGTCTGTAACCAAATATCCCACTTAAAGATGAATTAGCCATCTTCAGCAGTGTTGCATCAAGTTGAAACCACCCCAAAACAAAGTAAAAGTTGGAATGCAATGATTTCTCACTTCAAAAAAAGTCGAATACATTTCTCAAGAATCTAACACAGGACCAACTACTGTATGCAATCTATAAGTTGTGACAAAAAAGGTATTTGTACAAGGTATCTATTTCTAATGACAGCTATCACACTCTGAATATAGGTAATGTATTTCTAACATCAATATGGAATCACATCCTAAGTAAGTAAGCATTAAAATTCCCCATGTCTAGCATTATGATAAACGACTACTGTATCCAACATAATAAAACAGATTAGCTCCATATTAATGACTGCTATAACTAAATATCACAGCAGATAGTATGTTTAGTAACGAAATCTTCATATAGTTGATAAGTTGACATGTGTCTAGATGCCTGTAACCCCACTAATTTTAGTAAATTTAGTTGAAATTCTATCAATTCATCCTCTTGCCTCAAAAAGCACTTCTTCAGCTCCTATCAACCACCTCAAATTTGTATCTTCATCATCCACTCATGTTCCTTGAGCTTTCACTAGGACTAAGAAGCTTCCATCAATATGTCATCCAAGTGCCTGAATCAAATTAGTATTACCAGGTAATTACAGCTTATGCAACAGAAGGTACATGCCTCAGAAGCCAACAGGAGGTGTCAGCCAATCTTGCTTCTTCAGAAGAAAACCATTGTTTTAAGTTGGTGATAAGGTGTAGTACCAAGAATCAAAGAAAAGAGGTTTAAGCAAGAATGCATTGCAAAGGGGTTGATCCCAATGAAACATGGTCAATCTCAAACTAGATTGGTTAGTTCATTTGTCACATGGTGGGATGTTCATGTTTTAGAAGGTTATAAGAGAGTAGTGTTGCACATGACATATATATACATAGAGAGAGAGAGAGAAGGTAGGATAAAATCTAGGTTATCGCAAAAGCTAGGATAGATGGTGGAGATGAGGTGATGATGTACAGGGGAAAGTAGTTTTGTGTGTGAACGGGAGGGGATCTAAAGGGAGAGTGAATGCAAAGACAAAAAAGGATAATGGATTTTCTTTAGCTCCCCTTTACACCATAGGCTAGTTTGAAAGTAACATCCCTTGATCCCACTCTAAAGTGGGCGGAATAGCATACTTCATTATATTGCATCAAAAGTTGTCGTAAATGGTGGTTATAGTAGTACAAAATTGTGGTTTGTGTAACAAAATCGCCTCTTCTTCCACTAGTTGTAGCTTCCTAGTGCAGGTGGTAACAACTTCAGTATCAACAGAGTGACCCAGATCATCCAGACCAATTATAAAGGGGAGTAAACTGAGATATATCCATAAAATGTTGCTTTTAAACATTTGGTTTGGTGTTTAGATCGGTTTGTGGCATGCTTCTCACTGATTGGTTACTGTATTGGCCTAGGCAAAGTCCAGTAATATGGCCTAAAAAAGATGATATCACCTAATATATTACCACATGATCTAGTCAGTCTACTAAAACCTTAACCTACAATCACAGGTTTCCATAGTTCTCACTCGTACCACACTAGCCAATTGACCTCTATACGGCTATACCCTTCAAATCTTCGCCAAAAGTTCTAAGAAAAAACCTAAAATTTCATTTTCTACATTAGAAACTAAAATCTCCTATATCTCAATTATTCAACTTTTTCAAACAATTTTATTACAGTACACAATCCGATGTGATATTCTTCAAATCTACAGGCATAATTCTAACTAATTTTGAAGATAAATGAAGTAACCACGATGACAAAAAAGAAATTTGGTCTTGATTAGACCGTGATGCCCAACTACTACAAATAACGGCAAACAGCGATTTATAGAAAGAATGTCTCAAAATCAACGTTCGACACAAAGAATTAAAACGACGGATAAGCGGATGAAAACGTATACCAGCAAAGCATCCTGTAGAACGAATCCTTCTTGAAGAAGCTCCGATTTTAATAGCGTCACATCCAAATCTTAAGCTGCCAAAGGTGTGTGAACGACAGTGGTAGCGCACTGAAGAGCGATTAATTGCGGTTGGTCCAGATACAAATTCGAACGACGGGATCCTTGATGAGGATGCTAATCGAGAGTAAACAACCATAGAAGATGACATCTTGGCCGACTGGAATGGAAAATTTTCGATCACTGGTAATGGTATGGACGCCAACGAAAAGGATTCTTGTAGATCACGAATGGGTCAAATGGGCTTCTAGAACAGGCCCAAATAATTGTTTAATTAATAAACCAAATGGTTTTATTTAGGGGTAAATAAATGAAATAACAACCTATTTTCATAAAATTTATTATTATAGTATTTTATTTTTGTTTTTTTTATTACAGTAATATATTTTTAAATTATTTTTTATTAAAATATTGTACTTTAAAAAATCTATCCCATAATAGCAATAGATAACCTGCTATATTTTAAACCGGTTAATCCTTTGACTTATTTGCTTGTGTGGCTTTAATGAGGTGATATGGATGCCATATCATTTTGATGACTTAACTAAAATTAAAATAAAAACCTACTTCAAATTATCATTAGTGATTTTCATTTTTCATTGATATGATCTAAAAAACATTTATTTTTTTTTATATTTTTTCTTATTAAGTTGCATTCAAATTAAATATTTTTAGAGTAAAATATTTATTAAATAAATATGAAACATTATTTTCGAGATATATTTTGTTTGTAAAAATGTAACTTTTTCTATTTTATGTTGTTCAAATAAATACATATCTTTTAAAGTTCTCTTTAAAATATTAACGAAATAAATTGTTATCTACAATTTTTTAATATTGTTATATTAATAAATAATTCAAAAAAATCTAATTAATTTAATATATTTATGCGTCAAGTAAAAAGTTTTTGAACAAATATAATATATTCTTTAAAAGATAATATTTTTTGGTAAAAAAAGAACAATTCTTATTTTCTTTTTTTTCAAAAAATACATATTTTTTTAAAAATGTTAGCGAGATAAGTTGTGTTCTACTAGTTTTATTGATATTGATATATTAATGAATAATTTAGAATTTTTAATTCATTTGATACATTTATTAAATAACATGTAAAATATCTAAATATTAAAATTAAAAATACAGTGTTTAATAAGAACTAGTAAATGCTATAATAAAATAAATTTGAAAGTACAATGATATAGTAAGAAAATCACATCACTATAGTACATGTAGACAACTTACGTGGACAATGAGTAAATTTAAATTAAAAAGTTACTCAATGCTAGAATGAATACATTTTTCAAAGTACAATGTCCTAATAAAAAAATAGTTTAAAAGTACATTACTGTAATAAAAAAAACTAAAAGTACAATGCTATAATAAAAAAAATTATAAAAAAAATTTATTATTTTATGCATTTTGCCCTTTTATTTATTTATCAAATCTCATGGTTTTAATTATATCAAATATTTTGACAAAATTAATTATTTAAAAAAAACAAAAACACAAGTTTATATGTAAATGGTAAAATTAAATCCTTGTCTTTTATATTGATGCGATGACGTAAGATTTAATTGAGTTCAATTATTTGATTATTAACTTTCATCGGCGTCCGTACCAAGAATACATATATAAACTGCAGGAAGCGAAATTTCCCAATCTTATCGGATATCGTCAACCGCCGGTGGTGTGGCGCCATTGCTTATCTTGCATCAAACAGAAAAGACGATTAATACAAAATGGCCATAGCTGCTTGCAGGGTTTTTGGTTATCACCCTTCATACATTGGCGATCCTCCCGTAGTTATCAGGGGTTCCAAATTAAAGTTCCAGCAAAACGAAAGAAATGGAACAAATGGACGATATAGAGCGAGTCTCATCATGAATCCAGAATCTTTCGAAGTCGGTAGGCTAATTGGAAGCTATGGCTTCATGAACGTCACTAGGTAAGCCACACTTCATCAATTCGCTCAGTAATTCAAGATCAAGGTGCACCATAGGGTTGTTGATTTAAGAAAGTTGTGTGTGCAGTTATTCAGGTCTTCAATCTCGGCCTGATTTTGGAAGTTCATCACAATCAGAAGACGTTGGGGGATTGAAGTTTCAGGATGTTAGAGAAGGCGATGTACAAATCAGGTCCGTATCATTCATAATTAATGCTCCCCTTATCCCAAAATGAACTCCAAGATTTAACTAGTTATATGTGGTAATCTTGAACTGAAACTCTGCCAAAAGGGAAATCATATTTATTTTTGAACACCCATAGAATGAAATTGTTGCTTCTATAAGCAATGGACTACCAAGAACCACCCATGGTTTTAGTCGTTATACAGATTATGTGTGGCAATTTCTTGTTGGCCAGCAAGGTACTGTGATTTGTTGTTTTGGGTTGCCAAGGTTTAGTGAGTTGATTTCATGTATTTTTGGGGAATTGTGAATTTGAGATATCTGTTACATTTGTGTTGAAGGGACTTCGTCCCATAATAAGTTGGTTGTGTACATGAATCATGATCTTTGTACAAGTTAGTGGACTACCAATAATTTCGGACAATGGTTTTAGTTGATCAGAGGTTATTTCTGGTTCCTTACTTTGGGTTGCTACTTTGGTCCATGTTATATACCTGCATTTATGTTCCAATGCTGCCTTTGTTTTAATTTTTCTTCTTCCTATTGATATTTGCCATGACAGCTTTTCTGCAGGCTTTACGAAGGACGAGTAACTCAGGGCCCACGTCGGGGCACTCCAATCATCTTTAAGGTCATCTTCATCGTATTTGTTATTTAGTTTTTCTGAACGATCACCATGCTAATTTTAGTATTTTGTATTATTTAGTGTAATAGTTATTACCTTGTCATTGTTTGCACTGTGAAATTAATGAACATCTTACTAGTTACCTATCCCAAAAAAACCTAGTCAGTCTTATCACAAAGTCTAGGTGTAGCTTGCTTCCATTTTGATGAAGACGGTATTTTTTGTTTTAACCTTGCTTTAAATCGTACTGCAAAACATGGCTGCGGTATAGCCTTTGGATATGATGAAAGGAGTAGCTGCCACGAATATAATCCATGATAAGGTTTTAATCTATATTTTTCACTTAATTCTTTTGACTAATATTATTGTACAATAATTCTTTTAAGGAGTATGCTTAGATTATGGTGGTGTTTTTCTTTTTCTTCTTCACGTCTCAGTTTTTTCATATAGTTTTTTATAGGATTCAATAGCGTAATTGATTATTTAGTTATGTATTTTTGGCTTAGGGTCTGTTTTGTTGGTTTTCCATTAAGTCCTGTATGGATAAAGCTGCCAGTGTGGATTAATTTGTCTGTATAGATTGAGAAGGTTCTTGTTTGGGAGAGTTCTTTCATAGATGGAAGGAGCGTGTTTTTAATTTGAACGGACAGATTTGGAAAAAAATTGGCTTTCTACATAAAGCTCCCCCGTAAAAGCTTACTGAATAAGCCACTTTCTATATCATAAAGCCACCACCAAAAAGTCATGTATAGCTGACTGAATAAGCTGTGAGTCCCATTAAACTCATTAAGCTGCTAACAAACAGCCCCTTAGTGTGAACTTTGATTTGTTGGTATGATGCACGGTAAACTGTGCCTATCCTAGGTTGTCATAAATGTCATAGCATGAAACTTAACATGGTGTATATACACATAAGATATGGAGAAGGATGAAACAAGTGGAATATACATGTAAATAAAGGATGTTACAGGGCTGTTTGGATCATAAAATATTTTTGGATAATAAAATATTTTTGGATAACTCTCTTAAAGATTATTGACCCCATGTTTAAGTTCTCAACTAGCGCGCCACCTGAGGCACTGATTGCACATGGATTATTACCGACACATTTGAGAATCATTACTCTGATCTCCTTGAGCATTACCATGATTCTGATTGCTCAAGATGCACATTACGTATCTGGGTAGAGATAATCATCATCTTCGTCATTGTTTAGTTAGTTACTTTTTCTTGACTTAGTGTTCACTTTGAGTATTTGTCACTTGCCTCTTTGTTCACATATGGACTTTGTGTCCTATTGTGGTTTGTTGGGCCTATTTACAGGGATGATTGTTTTATTAGTTTAATTATATAGCGCTTTGTGATGTTGATGATATATTATTTGTATCAACTTTGGGGTGTGAATCTTTTATCTAGATCCTAGGTTCCATTGTTTATATCATTAACCATTCTCATTATTGGGTCCCATTTTTATAATTCTAGTGATTGTGGTTCCTATAATGGAATTTTATTGAATATGTTATCATGCAGGTTTATCCGGGGAAACAAGTAGGCGGTCTTGAGGCTGATATGATGGCCTCAAATGAGCTGAAGAGTCATGCTTTCCTTCAAGTACATTAGCAGTTTTTGTTTTGGTTAATGGCTAAATGACATGTGATATAATGACTTGCTTACTACGTATGGGTTCAGAAATATAAGATCTTGTTAACTTGTTTACGTCGTTAACCACGATAATCTTTCTGCAGAGCTGTTCAGAAACTATTTGCCAAAATATCCAAATTTTGTTAGGGGGTTTTGAGACGAAAACAGGAGAGCAGGTTGTCAATATCAAGGATATATAAATTGTGTTGTTCTTCCTCATATAGCGTTTTCATGGCACTAACTATCAAGTGTGATCTTAACGATGAACAGTGGCTTGCATTTCGCGATGATGGCAAATATTGTGCTGCAGACTATGCTAAATCTTCATGTGAGAGACTTTCCAAGAACCGGGCTCTTGGAGAAGACAAGTTCTGGAATCCCTTTGAAGAAGAACAGTATATTAAACGCAAAAGATCTTTTATTATTAAGCTGCTTCAGGGTGCTTTATGTGGCTTGGCCTATATGCATGACAATGAAAGGTTGCATCAGAGTCTTGGTCCAGCTTCAGTTGTTTTAAAGTATGTGACTTTTTATTTTTTTCCCTTGGAGCGACGGTCTTCACAATATTAGAAAGCTAAACAAAATCTATGTTCGTACTGCAGTACATTGGCAGATAAAGATGTCAATTATCTTGTTCCGAGGCTCCGTGATCTTGCCTTCTCAGTTGATATACGGTATGCTTGTGGTTCTAGTGGTAAATAATTTAGAGTAAGTTTTCTATATTGATTACTTGTGATGGTCGATGAAGTAGAACTTATTTTCTCATCCAACATATACCCAATACTGTGATGTATCTGTGGCGGCATTCGTTTATAGCACATACTACCAGCATTCACATGTTAATGCTACCCTTTTTAATTGACGGAGATGTGTCCAATTGAAAGTGTCCTTTCTCATAAACATGTTCAATGGATAACCTTTGAAAAGCCTTATTTATAGATCTTAGTTGGAAATTCCTTCCGGTGATTTTATCTGAAATTGTTTATATATCCCTTAGATTTCTCAACGTTTCTGTTCCAAATACAACATACATCAACAGATGGAGGGTACTTCTGTAAATGCAATTGTTTACTTTTAATCTTAGGATAAACTACAAGTTTTGTCTCTCTACTATTACTTGACTTGCAAGGTTTAGTACATTGCGATTTTTCTTTATAACTTTTGCTCCAAAATGCTCAATATTATCTTGTTAAGCTTTTCACCAACACCGCTAGGCTCAAAGACTAAAACGAGATTAAAATGGAGTATTTGGGAGCAAAAGTTATTAAAAAAATCTCAATGTATTAAACCTATAAGTTAAGCAATAGTAGAGGGACAAAAGCTAATAGTTTATCCTAAAATTTAAAGTAAACAGTTGCATTTACGATAGTACCCTCCATGCATGTTGCATCCAGAACAAAAACATTCAAAAATTTAAGGGATAGATTTAACAATTTTCGGATAAAAAACACCAAAAGGAAGTTTCTAGCTAAATAAGGCTTTTCGGAATAGACTACATCTTTCTCTCACATAATACCAAGACTCACCTCTTTAATGTACCCTTTGCTTGATTGCACACACTCTCACCCGTAGCCTGCTCTATTGGTTCTTTCTAATTTTTGTTTTACAAGTTGGGGTCTCCACTAGAACAATCTCTCTATTCCTTGGGATAGAGGTAAGGTCTGCTAACATCCTACCCCACAACACCTTACATTTGCGTGGGATTTACTATTCGGTTTGGCTTTAGTCAATGAAGTAGAACTTACTTTCTGATCTAACACATAGCCAGTATCGTGATGTACCAATGCATGCATTCCATTTTTAGCATATATTACCAACGTTCACTTGTTAATGCTCCCCTTCTTGATTGAACGGGAATTTTCTAATCGGAAGTACCCTTTCTCAAGAACATGTTCAACGGATAACCTTTCGTTCTAGGTTTTCAAGTTTAGAGGAAAGTTCAAGTGGATTATCTGAAGGTCTTTGGAGACGAGCAAGATCAGCCGGGGCATTCACTCCTATGGAGAAAAGAGCTTTTGGAATTGCGGATGATATGTGAGAGTCTACCTTAAATACATATTCTTACTCTCCAGTTACTCCAACCTTTCCTTCCACAAGCATACTAAGAAAGCATTTCTTTTTATATTCTTGATCTTACAACTTTTATAGCACATCCAGAATGGAAACTTTTGCAGATCATGTGGGAAATTGACCATTTTTTATTTGATTTCACATTCAATGTTTTTATCTCGCTAAATCTGTACTTGTATGGTTTTGGTCTTTATTATTAATACTCGGAGGACCTTCTTTTGAGAACCCATGAAATTGTGATAACCTTGAGAACTGATGCATCGTGTGTTATTTCAGGTGATCTTTTTCCATCTATGGCTTGGATTTAGTGTATTGATTAACATATATGTGTTTCACAATGTGCATATTTCACATATATTCGTTTCACAATGTGAACACTTTTTATGTGTTTATGAAACAAAAAATACAACAAAGAAGTTTCACATTGTGAAACAAATACATATGAAACAAATACATTGTGAAACAAATACATGTTAATCAATACATTAAATCCAAGCCATAGATGAAAAAAAACGTGAAATAGCATACGAAGCACCAGTTCTCAAATTTATCACAATTTATTGGGTTCTCAAATTATCAAGCCCCATTAATACCCAATAATTCTTCTTTTACAGTTATGGAGCTGGTCTTCTTTTCGCGTACTTGGCTTTTGTTCCATTTTGTGAAGCAGGAATTGTGGACAGCCTTTCATTGCAGGCAAGTTTATTAGAACCTTTTTCATGCAATACTCTCGCTTGTGCAGTTACAGTTCTGTTTCATTTTCTTTAGTCCAACTTCTCATCTCCTTAAGCTGAGGTGGCTCTTCTCTTTTCTCTCTATCATTATATCGTAATGCTTTGAACATGCAGAGGCTTCTAGAAAGCACTTTCAAGCTTGATCTTGGAGCTACTAGAGAGTAAGAAACCTCGTCATTTTTTCGATGATTCAAACAATTAATATTTTCTTTTTGTTTTGATTCTTTTTAGTTGTCTGTTAGGAGTAGTTTCTATACTTACTGCTTTAATTGTGATGCTTCATTTTGTTGCCAAGATTTATGATTTTCAAGAGAAGAGGCAAGTTCCCGTTTGCAATCTATCATAACCATCCCCTTGTGTCCCATAAGCCCATTTTTTGCATATATATATATATACATATCTTGTAAATACACAATTCTGGTTATGTATTGATAGGTACTGCGCAGCCGATGATCGATTTTTAGAGGCTGTGAAGTTTTTGGATATGGGTAATGGTGCTGGCTGGGAGTTATTGCAGGTTTAATTCCAATAACCACTGATTTACATCTCATTCATATAACATGCCATTTGAACAAGATCCATGAAATCATATGATGTTCTTGCTTTATTTTTCTCTTTTTCTTTTTCGGGTAATGGAGTTAGAGATACATAAGGCCCGGGATTTGGGGTTGAAAGGGAGCCCCATCGGGCTTTAACCGGGCCTTAAAAAATAATTGGGCAGATCGGGCTTTAAGGTTTAGCTGGGTTTTTTTGTGCATCTAGATGGTGCAGGTGTGGTGTGCTACTAATTAAGGTGGTGGTTGTGCATTATAATTACTATGTAAATGCAGGCAATGCTGAATCCTGACTTCCGGAATCGGCCAATTGCAGAAGCTGTGGCCAACCACCGGTTCTTGACCGGTGCTCTCCTTTGAGTCTCTTAGTAGGAATGGAACTGTCAAAGTATGATTATTTCTTGGAAATTTGTATTCTAAGACCAAGGAATGTGCTAATTTCAGCCAAATGGTATTTTCTATTTGTAGCATCATCTTGATATCGAAAACATACGGTATGCTTTGATTGTATCTGTTATGTTTCTGAGAGCACCTCTTTGCGGTTTGGGATTGAGGTTTTAGTGACATTGTGTTTGGTTTGCAGGATTTGGAATTCAAATATAGGATTTTGAAATACCTGTTGGAATTTTACGAGATTTTGCAGAATTTGTATATAATAATGTTTAAAAGTAGGACAAAAAGATTTATTTTTATAACTATTTATAATTTGTTACTGAAAATCAAAATAAAATCTAATTCCATTTCAAATCCTACAAAACAAACACATTCATTAAAATCTATTTGTCATATACTATTGCAAAAAGGGAAAAAAGAAGTTAAATGTTACCCCTTTTTTGTTTAGTTTCATGTTCCTCTAATCAAATTTCAAAATGTGTAAAAGCATATGAAACATTAAGGGGCTGTTTGGCAGTTGCTGAATGGTTTGATACTGAATGATTAAAAGTCTGTCATGATATAGTGTAAAATGAAATATAATTGTCTGATAATTATTTGCAATGAAATTAGAATGCTGAAGGGTTCAGAAAGACACTGGATACAAAATCATTCAGAGGGTTTTAGAACCATTAAGAGACAGGTTTATTTTTTGCCAAACAAGATTCATCTTTTTGACGATTCAGAGGTTGCCTCTTAATGAAACTATTAAGAGTTAAATATTTATGTTTTATTTAATTTATGCATTAAAGAATTTTGAAGTTTGAAATATTTATGATTTTTAGACGTTTTTAAACATTTGTGTGAAAGAAACTTCAATTTAATTTTTCTTATCAAACCGATATCCAACATGATGGTTTTCCAGTTGTTGTATACATTTTTATAACCGTTTAACTCGCTGTTTGTTCACTCAAACCAGCCGAGGACGGTCCCGGAGACTCGTAAAACTCACTACTTATCGGCAAGAGCAATGAGCTGATCGACCACATTTGGATCAGCTAGCGTGCTTGTATCGCCCAGCTCATCTAGCTGCCTAGACGCTATCTTCCTTAGAATCCTTCGCATTATTTTCCCACTTCTAGTCTTTGGAAGCCCAGGTGCCCAATGGATTTTGTCAGGAGCTGCAAATGCTCCAATCTGATTGCACAGGATCGCCAATCAGATTTATATACAGCAACTGGTAGAAAAGCTTATTAGTAAGGAACAAACAACTCACATGGGTTCGGACCGCGATCACAAGGCTTTTTCTGAGATCTTCGCTATATGCAACACCCTCGATCGGAGTAACAAATGCATATATACACTGCCCTTTCACCTCATGCTCAACACCCACCACGGCCGCTTCAGCACATTGAGGATGTGAAACTAGAGCAGATTCAACTTCCGCTGTGCCAATTCGGTGTCCGCTGTTCATGTTACATATAACAAGAGCGTAACTTAGAATCTATTATTTGTAGAACCCACAAATTAGTATATAATTGCGCAAGTTTTTACGAAGGTACCTGACATTAATTACATCATCAACTCTTCCAGTGAGCCAGTGGTATCCATCCTTGTCTCTGAAACAAAACTTGGTTATTACGAAACCAACTTAAAACTATAGTGAAAGTTATTGGTAACCCATAACTTTGAGCTAATAAGGAGCTCACAAATCTAATTTTCTATCAATGTTGGACGGGTTGTTACAGAAAACGCTATCCAAGAAATCTTTGAGCCTGATGAATGGAATCTCAGAGGCTCTATAGTTGATGGAAGTGAAAGATGAAACTTTCTAAGATATTGAAACATCTTGTTACCTGCTGCAGCCATCGCCGCTAAAATAATAGCCGGGGAACGCGCTGAAGTAAGTTGTTTCGTATCTTTCATGATCTCCATAGAGGGTCCTGAATGCACCTGGCCATGAGTTCTTAATACATAAATAGCCACTGCACTCACCCTCAAGCTCCTTGCCATTCTCATCCACTATGACAGGCTGCACTCATTTTGTTTTGGAGGAAAAACAGAAGTGTGATTAGAATTTAGAAGGGTCAATAATGATGGAAAAACAGATACATTTATCGTACCTGAACCCCGAAAAATGGAAAAGTAGCAGAACCAGGTTTTTGAGGCCATGCACCTGGCAAAGGAGTAATCTGGAAAGAAATCAAGAATGGTTGATCTTAATTCTAGTCATCATTAGTCCCATATAAACCATACCAAACAAACCCGGTATATCCCATACAGAAATAGGGTCTGATAAGTATATGTGCAATTGTGCATGCATACCATGAAGCCTCCTGTCTCTGTTTGCCACCAGGTATCTGAAATTGGACATCTTGAATCTCCAACTACATTGAAAAACCACCTGTCATATTAATGAAAGAAGAAAGGGTCGATAAAGGAATTTTTCAGTTAAGTACATACAGCAATAGATCTTCCCATTTTAACAACAATCAAAAGTTAGTTGAGAAAAGAACCTCCATGCACTTGGGTTGATCGGTTCGCCTACACTACCAAGGACTCGTAAAGATTTACGAGAATAACGAGTAACATACTGCATGGTGAAAAAACACAAATCAAAAAGAAGTGGAAGAGCTAAATAGAGAGAGAGGAAATGAGTTGTTTATGATGCAGCTTGTTCTTTAGAAAAACCAGATCGAAGAGAATTCTTGCCTCGTTACCATCGCGCATAAGAGACCGCACGAGTGTAGGAGCAGTGTAGAATAATGTCACCTTATACTTGTCGACAATGTCCCAGCATCGTCCAGGATCTGGGTAATTAGGAGCCTGCAGAGACCATGTACATATAGCATCAGAAAATACTCATTTTTCAAGAAACAGAAAGTCGAATATCTCCTAGAAATCTAGTTCATTTAAACTGATACATTATTCATATACTCAATTGTGTATATATCAACTGAGAACCGAAAGACTATGATGTTAAATAAATAAAAGTTACAAACTTTAGCAGAAACTTATCATGATCAGAACTAGAACTGAAATTCAAGATATACTATACCCCTTCATAAACTACAACCGTTGCTCCATTAAGCAGAGGTCCATAAGCAACATAACTGTGTCCAGTAATCCAACCACAGTCAGCTGTACACCTAAAATTTCGAGAAAATTTGGAGTTTATAGCCAAGAACAAGCATAAACCATTAACTTAAATGTTCTGAAATCAAGATTTACCAGTATATATCAGATGGCTTGAAGTCAAATGCATATTTGAATGTTGTTGCAGTGTATATCATGTATCCTCCTGTAGTATGCAGAACACCCTATATCAAATGAACCAACATGATTCATTAGGGAACTCAAAACAGATAAATGAAAACTACTTCAGAAATAGTGGACATGAATACTTTAGGCTTTCCCGTGCTTCCGCTAGTATAGAGAAGAAAAAGTGGATCCTCTGCATCAACCCACTCCACATCACATTTAGTAGAACATTCAGGAACAACATCCTGTAAATTTTATAGATCAAATGAAGCTAATAAGCTACAATTCCCATCAGATAAATAGTCTAAGATAATATAAAATAAAATAAACTTATGAACATTCGGACGCTACAAATTTGGTCCATTAGAAAAGAAAGCTTGGTTAACTACCTGCCACCAAACATCCCTTTCCTTTTGCCATTTAGTAGCTTCCTTCTTCATGGCTGATTCATTTCCATATGTCAAACATAAACCTGTTTGTGACCAAGAGAAGTGAGTTTATGCTGAGGCTAAAATTTAAGAAACATCGATTACTCTTACTACAAACTAACAATAAATAAGAGGTCCCCTATTAGCAGCTACTTTTTCTCCATGTCCCATCTACTAATGTCTCAGTCCTTATCATACTTATGTGCCATTCCACTTTTGAATTAACAATACAAAAGTGACTTTCAATCATTCCATGGCAGGTTAGCTCAACTGGCAAATGGGCTTGGGACTTTTGGGGCTTCTCCTTAGAGGCCACCGGTTCAAGTCCCTCCTAGGACACTAGGGATTTTCCTGGTTGTTCCCTACTTCTCTATGGTCGTGCAAGCTGACCCAGACACCCATGGTTAACAAAAAAAAAAGAACTTTTGACAAAATTTCCAAAAAACCAACAAAATTTCCGAAAAACCAACAAAATTGGAACTATGTGCTCCTTTGCAGACACATATTAGTGCATTGCATAGGTTCTGAAGTTTTATTATCTTAAGGGTTCTTATGTGCTGTTTTTATAGGAAGACATATGAAATTGTAAATATGCCATCTGATATATTCTCAGAAAGTTCATATGGTCATTCGTTAACTCCTACCAACAGAGATTCCATTTTCAGATGACTCCGAGAGTGCAGCATCAACAATATCTTTGAGATTGATAACTTTTGTGCCTCTCCTAACCGCATTACAAGTTATCACAATCTTCGGCTTGCAATCCATAATTCTTTGAACAAGAGATTCTGCAGAGAATCCAGCAAAAACAACCTGAAAGCCAAAGGCAGCTTAGCATCAAACATTCTACATATTCAAGAAACAAAATGGTACTAATAAAAGTAAAAGCATCACTAAGTAGTACCGAATGAACAGCACCAATACGAGCACATGCCAGCATGGCAATTGGCAGTTCCATGAGCATAGGTAAGTAAATAATCACAGAATCACCCTTTCTAACACCATTTTCTTTCATGTAATTTGCAAGCTGTCAGAAAAATGAATAAGCTGCTGAATCACAAACAACAAACAGGGTGTACAGAGGGCAAAAGAAAAAGTAAAAGGGTGAACCTGACAAACTCTATCTAGCAGCTGGTTGTAAGTTAAAGATCCATCAAGACCAGGCTCATTTCCTTCCCAATGAATCGCAATTTTTTCCCCATTTCCAGAATTTATGTTTTTATCCAAGCAGTTGTAGCAGATGTTGGTGATACCATCCTTAAACCACTGGATAGATAGCAATGGCGGACCAAGTTATGAACACGATTAAAGATGATAGTTTCATAGGGGAACAGCAACAAGAATGGATAATTGGATATCACATAACCTCTATGTTGATCTTCCCTTTTGTGATATCAAGATTGTCCGAGTACACCTGCTGACCCCATTTCTGTTTCCAGTAGAACTCCGACGCTATATCCGACCAAAAACCAGCAGGATCTTCAATTGACCTCTTGTACATCTCCAGATACTGAAACAGTATCAATCATGGTGATAGATATAAAGAACCAATATGTATATGTTGCTAATGAATGAACAAAATTTAGGGAAAAGTTACCTTTTCGAAAGAGGAAACATGGGCCTGCTTGGAGAAATCTTGACCAGGTAAAACAAGATCATCATCCGCGGAAGCAAGAGCCTCCCCAAGGGTTACAGCTTTGAGCTTTGGTAACTTGTATGGAAGAGTAGACTCCAGATGATGATGGGCTGCGGTCAGATTGTTCACCATGACTGGCAGCCGTGACCGGAAAAGATTCCCGGAGTCAACTCTTATCTTGAACGGCGAAGAAACCAAGATATCGGAATTAGCGTTGGGCCTGATCCTCCTTCTACCCAGTTGGGGATCGCCTTTAAAATGGCAGCAGCTTTTCCTGTACACATCATTGCAATTAATGTAATCATAATTGAAACATGCATAAACCGCCATCTCTTCGTGTACCTCTGCAAATGATTATGCGAGCTGGGCGCACACTATAAAACTCCAGAAATCTAACCTTTTCTCCCCCTGTTTCTCGACTTTTGTTTTTCCTATGTCCTTTCTTTGGATTCATGGTGCGGTTTTTTGTTACAGTAAAAGCAGTATATTTTATCATGGGTAAAACAAGAAACTGAAAATAGGAAATCTTGGTTTACCGGGTGTATATAAAAGAGAGGGTTCTTTTTGCATGGAATCGGACCTCCATTGATTCTTGGAAACCATACGTCTATGGATTTGGCTGTCTTTTGTTTATGCAAATCATCTTCTTTTCACCATGGAAACAACACAAACTTTACTCATTTATTACTCCAATCAAATTCATTTATGTTTATAGTTTACACATTGGGGGTATAATCATATGATGTTTACTGATAATGATGGTATTTATTATGAGTATTTAAGACTTCTTATCCTTAAATCTTTCTTACATCTTGATGAAAAAACCAAATAGTATCATAAAGAAAAATATTAAAATTTGTTTAAGATTGCTTATAAAAACAATTTATTGACTTATTCCGGTGTGACACCGGTAATAAGTACTTTTGAGTGTTTCGATAAATAACTTATATCGGTGTCAAACCGGTAATAAAAAGTCTTTGAATAAGTTAAACCATTCTAACTTATAATAAGTTGATAAACACTTTTTGTAGAAAAACATAAGTTGTTTCAGATAAGTATTAACTTTAGGATTTCATACGATTAGTCATGCAAACTGATTAAAGCATTTACGAGTGTACGATTACCTATTACTTACAAGAGTATAATCATCTATCAAGGAATCATTGTATAATAACCATAAATAGTGGATCATAAAACGTTGTATCGCTTAAATAATTCATATAATGTGATCTGTATATTTCCAACACAGCAATCTTTTTTCAACCATATAAATGAAATTAGGAAAAAGAACACTTACATATAATGATAGTGTTGTTATCGGAAGCCCTCAAGACCTAGTTTTTGAACCAACCACCGTATCTAACAACAATCTCCAACTGAAGAACTTAGTATAAGTATGTTATAACATTTCTAACAGAAATATTTAAAATGAAGATTTTAGAGTTTTATTGCTTCTAGAAAAATCTTAAAATATTCTCCAAAATTGGAAAAGAGAAAATATTCTTTTTTCCATATTTGGAGAGATTAAAAAACCTTCAAAATTAAATTTTGGAATAAACAAAACATATAATAATTATTTTTTTATTTTCTTGAAGTATATAATATTTATATATGGCAAATAGAACAAATAAACTCATACATCTTCCTTACATTTGGCGAGATTTGAACCCAAGACTCACATACCGATAGGCCCGACACACCCCCCCCCCCCCCCCCCCCCCTTTTACAATTTTCATGATTTGAACATAATTAATTTTTTTATTTACTTTATTTTTTATGACATTTAAAATAAGTGTGATTTAGTTGTTCATTTAAAACATTTATTTCTTATAAAAGTAATTTATTTTAAGATTTTTCTACAACTTTCGTTAAAAATCACATGTGATATCCATAATTAATTGACATTTTTTCAAAAAAAATATATAATTTTCGTTAAAGTATCACATATAATATTGATCATGGTAAATTTAATTGAAAAAAAAATGTAAATTATCTAGAACATTACATGTGATATTTGTAAATTATGAATTACGTTTTAAAGATATGTTATCTTGTACATATTAGATGTATACTGGTACACATCACATGTGGTTATGTGTTTGTTATTTTTCCATTGTTCAATTTGAATCATTGTGTTAATGCTAATCATATATGATTAGAAAAAAAGTTGAAAAAAGTCAAATAATTGTGAATTACATGTGCTTTTGACGAAATTGTTTTTTTTTTTTTTAAATATTGTCTTAATTAAAAAAAATTAAATATGCTTATTTTAAATGTTTATATAGAGAGATCTCTAATCAAATGAGAATTATTTTATTTGTGGTAATTGTGAGATTCATTGTGAACCATTTGTTTGAGATATTTAAGGATATTTCATAAATAAGTTAAAAGGCTAATATAGTAATTATATTTTTAACAACTAATCAAAATATTTAATTAAATATTTTAGAAGGAAATATTTAATTAAAATTAGTTATCTAATATATCAATTATCTCATATACATCGTATTTTAAAGACGTTTATGAATCAAAGTGTATCATAGTGATAACGTTCATAATGTTCCAAATGTATCACAATGTATTTTCTTTGTTTTATGAAACGTATCATAGTATGCATTTTCGTTATTTTTATTGATTTACATAGGGAATAACATTGTGCATCTTGTATGTATATCTGAGTATCACAGTGAATATCATTTGCAGATATCACAATGCGTACCTTGTGTTCACATAAGATTCATCAGAATAAGATTTGCCGGAGAGAAGAAAGAGGAGATATGAAAGATAATATTTATAAAATCCTTAAAATGTCATTAATTAATATTTTAAGTTAAATTGCTAAAATTATTAATTTTCTAATTTAATCTTTGATTTGTGGTTAAGATTAGATCTCAATATTACCACAAATTAATCAGGTCTTTCTTGAATTGACCCATAATATATATATATATATATATATATAGAGAGAGAGAGAGAGAGAGAGAGAGAGAGAGTTTGTTTCAAATGCAACTCATCGCATTTGTACAACTAATACAACTCAATAAATTGAAATATTTATGGAAATGATAAGAGTTCATTTATTATGATTTAAATATTTATGGAAGAGGAATAAGATTCATTAATTATGATCAATACTTTATATTATGAAACAATCAAAACTTATATGAAATTACATATTCATCAAATTAAATGGACGGTTGTGATTGAGTTGTACAAATATAATGGGTTGTATAATAACCCACCTATATATAAAGGTATATATGTATGTATGTATATATGTGTGTGCGCGCGCACTCACACATGTGTATATGTATGTATATATATAGATGAGAGTTCATACGAGAATGATAACATTTAAGAAAAATAAGAGAATAATTAATGGACCAATAATTTATTTGAATAATACCTTAAATAAAATTTTCTAAAAAATCATCCAAAAAGGCATATATGTCATTTGTTATACACAAATTATGTATGAAAATTCATTTATTTCTATAAAGATCATTTAATACATTTAATTAAGTATTTATTCATAATTCTTATAATTTAGTGATTTAAGCATGATTAATTTTTTATTTTTACTACATTTAAAATAAGTGTGATTTAATTTTTCATTTAAGAATTTGTTACAATTTTTGTCAAAAATCATATGTTATATCCACAATTAATCGATTTTTTTTTCCAAAAAATAATCGTTAATTTTATCAATGTATCATATATGATATTAATTATCTACAACATTACATGTAATACGTGTAAATTACGAATTATGTTTCGAATTACATGTGATCTTATACATTTTAAATGTGTTTTGCTACACATCATATGTGATTCTGTTTTCATTATTTTTCTTTTTCAATATTTAACTTGAATCATTGTTTTTAAGCTTTAAATCACATATGATTAGGAAAATATTTTGAAAATAAATTAATTAATTGTGAATCATATGTGATTTTGGCAAAATT